GTGTGTGTTCCTCACCTGCACCACAGACATTGAAAACACATCCTACTGCATGGAGCAAAATAGTGGCTTACAGTTAATGAAAAACCAGTAAAAAGGCTGAGACCAGAGAGCAAGTAGCTCCATCAAAACTCCAAGTGATGGTCCAGCTTGGATGGGATGGGAGCTTCCTTGAAGGAGTTTTTGGTTTCTTTGTATGAAGACTGGTGGTTTCGTTGTGTCAGAAACCACCTATAATTATTTAATGCTACTAATTTCCTCCAGCTTCTAGAAAGACAAAGCTGCCATGTACTTCTTTTAAAACACAGACTTCTTGTTTCAGATTTCATTTGAAGCATTTCTTTGTCCTAATTCATCTGTAAATATGATGTTGTAATGCTTGTTTACACTTAACAGAATACCTGCCAGTGCTTTCAGGCTCTTTAATGAAAGGCAACTTCATTGCAAATTAATTTATGAATTTTAAGAAACTCTGGGTGTGTTCTGTGACAGACTTCATGTTAGTTTGCCAGCCTGTAGCCCTTGTAATATGAAGCTTCTAAATGTCAGATGTGGATTCCTAACAAATGTGCTTATTTTAGAGTTAACCTGTGGCATCTGATTTTTTCTTCTCTATCCCCTTTCCTTTTGTTAGACATGCATATTCCTGAACTCTCAGGAGCACAGGGTGATGCTACTGAATGATTTCAAATATACTATCTTGACATGTATCTTTTAATGCTGTCAGTCATTGTTATAAGATCAGCTCCAGGTCCAGTGATCAAAGGAATACAATTATATGACCGATACAAGAAATGAACTTCAGGGCTGCTTGTTGAAACATGCCTAAGTTGAAAAAATGCTTTTTAACAACTGCAGTTACCCCAGCTTTCCAGCAGATGACACTTTCACCAAAATGCATTAATCTCAGTTCACATAATTTCGGATTCCTTCCTTTTTCCTCTGTTGAGCTGTCATTTATGTACCTTTTTCTTGAAAGGATTCCTTGCTTGGATGCTTGATTACTGTGACCTCTCTATTGTTCCCAAATATCTTAGTGATGCAGTGCCATTCACAGATGTTTTTTTCAGTGATTGCAGTGCCCTGTTGTTCAATCCTCACCCTTTCCTGGTGGTTTAATGGGCAATTGAAAGCTATGGAGGTTTTGGACCCTTAGTCCCACCACTTGACTTTGTAAATGCTCATCACATGTCAGTCTATTGCAACGTAAGTAATATTTTAAAAGAACACCAAGCCTACTGTAAAATGTAAGTGCAGTCTTACTGTTGTAAGGCCAACTTCAAGGTCAAAGAAACTTAATAACCTAAATGGCTTAAATTCTGGAAGTGTCTAAATCCTCATAATTATGCTATCTTGCAGAATTTTCAGGCTTGCATCAGGCGTATCATCTGCTTTGTACATGTCTGAAAATTTTGGATGTGTAAGAAAGATACTGTAGTAACCTTGAGGACAGCTTGTGTGAAAGATGAGGAAAGTGAGGGAAAAAGATGGAGTCAGAGGAGAAAGCATCCTCAGCTGACACCAAGGGATCATCAGCCTCAGCTTGGCAACCTCACTGTCTGGCAGGGAGGGGAGCAGTTTCTATCCAGGAGGAGACACTTTGGACAGATGTCAGCAACCTGCCTTGGAAGTCAGCAGTCAGGACACATCAGAGAAGCCATAGACTGAGAGGAGAAACCTTTCTCTGAACCATATCTGTGTTTCCTGTTTGTGCTCAGTTTCCCATGGCTCTTTTTTTGGGTGGTGGCCCTGTTGCATGGATGACACAAATGCAAGGAATATGATGCAGGGCTTGGTAGGCAAAAGGAGTAAGAACAGACTGAGAGCATCAAGAGGGCCAGTGTTATGATTTTCTGCCTTGCTGAAGATTCTTACTTTAGGTGCATGAGGCCTGGGCTTGGGTGAGAGGACCAACCAGTCTGATAGCTGTGAGCTGGCAGCAGCAATTGGATGGCTCTGCAGACACTGATAGGCAGGAACTTGGGTATCTGGGAGGCTTTGCTTTGGGGCTGGGCATCTATATAATGATCCTGCAGAGACAGATAGGCACCAAAGCTGCTTCAAGGATCTAAGCAAGCATACTTACTAAAGCCAGTGACTCATATCCATACAGAAAGTGTTCTTCTCCTGATTCAGGTCTTTATTATTTTAAACGCTTAATTAAGTCTCTTTGAACCCACAGGTGCAGCCACTTACTGATGCTTATTTGTTTTCTTTTATTTGTCACAGGCTTTCATTTACCAAGATATTTCAGTCAGAAGGTTGAACTAGATGTATTTGAGGGGATTTTAATATATTCTTGGAAACTGTGACCAACTTCATTATGTTTCTGTTCTTTCTCTACATGCTAGTATGTGCATCTGCTTGTAGACAGGTCTCTGGTGGCTGACTTGACCACTATCATTCCAATTTTGCAGGCTGATTTAAAGTTGATTATGTGTGTTTGGCTGCTAAATTATTTCTTATGAAAGTGTGGTGTTTTTAGTTTTTCATTTTTCAGTGAGTTGAATTTTAATAGTCAAGACATTTTTTACCTGCTCTCTTCCAAACCCACTGTTGATGTGCTGATTTTTTTCTTTGCTTTAATTTCTCTGAAGTTATTTCACAATACCTGAGCTGTTAGGCTATGCTTACTAAGTTATTTCACTGTTTGCTAAGCTTTTTCATTCTATGATTTCTTAAAGCACTGTCTAGAATCCAGGCAGTTATGCAAATCACTGAACTTCAATCATTGTGCCTGAATCTTTCTATCTCAATGAATGATTTTTGTGTTTCGTTTTTCTTGGTTTGTCTGGGGTTATATATTGTTTTATTTTAGGGTGAGATTTTTTTCAAACCAAAGTATAACTTTGAGGGATTCAAAAGATAGCTTATGGAGTAAAGCTTGGCATAGAGGCATAAGAATGATAGGAGGAAACTAGTACCACATGTTCATTCTGGTTTTGCCAGAAGAAATTTCAGTCCGTGTCTCCTATTTGCAGGCTAAAGTATTCATCACTGAGAGTGCAAAGAGAACACTGTTGTTGTTGTTTTGTTTCATTTTATTAAATATGATTGGAACCTAAATAAAATAGCATAAATTTTTTGTTAACACATTAACATGGTTTTTGTTCACAGGTGCTGTTGGAAATGGTTTTCAAAATTTCAGGGGAAGGGAGGTGGAGTAAGCTAAGTAAGCTGCAAAACTGTGTGCTAGGAAACAAATACATATGAAGTATAAACAATTTTTAGGTTAAATTTCATTGTCAACTTCAATTTAGT